GCTGCAGAGTAAAACAGTGTTTTTGAAATTGCTCAAGTTGGCTGCCCTGAGACATTGCCCAAATGTTTCCTTAAACACTGCTTTTATCTTGAGCAAAGCTATATAAGGCAAAGCTCCAGAAAAATTCACTGTAGCCTAAGGGCTTTGAGCAAGTATTCAAGGCCCAGGCAGGAGGAGATCCAGACCAGAGCTCTGGGGCTAGAGAGCCTTCCTTTCTGCTCCCGTGACTATTGTCTTAACTGAAACCCTTGATATCAGCAACTTGTGCCACTTCAGCAGTGTTCATCTATAGCCTCAGGCCTCTGTGTCATATGGAGTTGTAGACCTACAAAGTTACCTGTATAACTCATTTATAAAGTAGTCATACATTCATGAAGGTCATCAATTAATTGAGCACCTACTATGAGCTCAATAGTGTGCTAGGAGCTGAGTATCGGATGGTGAATAAGATTCTGTCCTGCCCCGAGGTGTCTACAGTCCAGTGAGGGAAAAAGATACCTAAAGAAACTGTGACAGTACAGCATAATAAATGCTCATAAGATTAAGGACGGGGTGTTTGGCACATCCGACAGAAACTTGACCGGATCTTAAAGGGTCAGAGAAGGTTTCCTAGAGCAAAGACAAGAGCTGCAGAAGCCTAAAGGCAGGAAAGGACTTGGGCAGATGAAGATGGAAAACAAAATCACAGTCCCTGGACCCTCCAGCCACGGCCTTTAGCCCACCTCCTATCATGAAGGCCGGCTGTGAGCTGAGCTTGCAAAAGTAGCACAAGTCTCTCTGTCTCTGGGGAGAGTTGGACGGTGTGAGGAGTTGGACACAGAGAAATGAAAACAAAGGCTTTCCTTCTTCCACGAAATATTACAAAATCTGATTTTCTGATTGGCAGCTTAGAGAACTGTCTGAACTTTCTGTCAGGATAAGTTAGTCAGGTCAATATGAAGTGTTTAGCAAATATGTAGAGTACTTACTCATGCCAGGTAGCTGGAGACAAAAGATAAATATGATAAGACAGAGAGAGAAGAGATGGAACAGGATCTGGGGGTGGAGGAAGGAGGGAAGAGAAAATTACAGAGCATGCTACGTGACCCCATAGCAGCTTACTGGTGTAAGCCCACTGGCTGATGGTTATCTGAGGATTGGTGACTAGCATCTTCATCTCTGCCAGGATGAATAGAAATGGATACACTTGGAAGAAAGTGTGCAATTCAGCAAAATAAAGCATTTCTTGCCAGTTGTCTGACGTGCCCCGAGTGTGGGATAAACGCTCTGTGGTACGGCACACCACTGGAACAGGCTTTGTAGGCAAGAAAAAAGCTTAGATGACCCACTTAGATTTCCTCCTGGCCTGTGTAGCCTGAGCTTTGACAACGCTTAACTGAAATATGGAGTGAAGGAATCTTCAATGGAGGTTCAGAGATTCAAGTTCCACGAGCATCTGCCCTAACACAGAGTTAAATCACAAGAAGTTGTCAAACGCCAAATGTATTATTCCAGATTTATGTTGTTTGTGCATGTGCATGTTGCTGTGTATATATGTGTGTGCGTATGTGTGCGTGTGCACATGTGTGGTAGTGTTTGAAATCGGTGATTTTTGATGAATTTCAGGTCTCTGTTCATTCTCTCCTGATTCAAAAGTAGGAGAGATGTCCATCACGTGGTTACATAACCACACACTCCATTCTCTACTCTTGGAACTCCTTGTTTATAGAATTTTAGAGCTGTGGGCCACAGAAATTAAATGAGAACCTTTCTACTGTGATGCTTATTGTGTGTTTGGCATGTGTGTCCGTGATAACAAAAGTAAAATTAACTGTTTCAGATTTCTCATTTTACACATAAGGAAACTGAGGGACTTAAACAGCTTGGATGAATTGTTCAAAGTTCTATGGCTACTCATTCTTTCATGTATAAACTCATGCAAATCATACCGAGGGTCTGCCTCATGCTAGGTATTGCATGTGGGACACTGGCAAAGCCAAGTTCTGGAAGGCACTTATCCGAGCATCCAACCCAGAACTCTCCTCTTATACTCTGGAATTTACGTTTTAGGTATCTAAGTTAGAGGCACAGCCTGTGTGTCATCTTTATGAGGGGCTGGAAGAGTGATCTAATTTCTAGATAATAATCCGTATCTTCTGCCTGAATACAAAAGCATTTTGATCAACAGCAAAATACCGGGGAAATATTTTGACCTCAAAAGATAAAACTCTTTTGAATTTTAGATTTACAGCTTTTAAAACAATCAAGCTTGGCAGAATGAAGCAAACTGAACAAGTTCAAATGCAGTTTGCTACATTATCCTATTAGAACATTGTCTAGTTTGTAATGTTAAAGCGTCTAACTAGTTAACAAACTTATATGCCTCTTTCACAAATTTTATTTTTAGAATGATGATCTCAAGCTTTTACAGTTTGGGTTAATGAAGTTATCTGTGGATCATTCCCAGGGAACTCTAAATCAGAGGACACAAATGAGTGGTCCCAGCCAAATCCAGCCTTTGGTTATATTTGGTTTGGCTTGCGGAATGTTGGCCCACACAAGAGTTTTAAATTTTTGAATTACTTCACAACATTTAAAAATCAGGAGATTATGATATAAAAATCAAGATTCCAGCTTCTACTACAAAATCAGACGTTCTTGAAACACCCAGCCACATTCTCACTCGCTGACACCATGAATTGGCTAGGGCTGTTGTACACAGTGGCCTTTTTCGACAGAGACACACTCGCCACAATCTGCCTCACTCCCTGCTATCCTGTATCCCCGCCTGCTTCATTCACTTACATGCCAGGCCCTGCTGGCATCGGAATTCATGGCCTTTACTTCATATTGGGAGTTAAAATCTTTACAACATTGTGGAGGCTTCCAACCAGTTTTCTCCAAGTCTTGAGTGCACAATCAGTGGGGTTAGCGTAGACTATGCACTCATTCACTCAACATACATTATTGTCTACTATGTTCCAGGTATGTGCTAAGAATGGAGGAGACTGGGCTAAATAAAGCTCAGCCCCTCCAAAAGCCCACAGTCTAGTGAGGGAGAGAAACATGTAAGTCATTAGAACAGTTTATCCAAATGTTATGGTGATTCATGGTAGCACAAAGGTGGGAGCGACCAAATCTAATCAGGGGAATTTAAGGAATTTTAATAGAGCAAATAATAACTGAACTGAATGTTCAGGGTCTAACTAGGAAAACAGAAAACATTCTAAGTAAGGAAAATCGAGCAGATTCATACCGTAAATTGGTAACTCACGTATGTTGGTTTTAAAACATGACCCCCAAATTCTTTGACATTCCTCCCATTAAGGGGTGTGGTCCGTGTCCCCGCCCCTGTTTGAATCTGGGTTACTCATGATTATTTTAACTAATAGAGTAGGGGAACATGATGCTGTACAAATTCAGAAGTTAGGGCGCAAAGGGGAGCTTCCTTCTGTGGCTGGATAGAACCCTCTCGTTTGGAGCCCTCAGCCACTGTGTACACAGACTGACTGCTCTGAGGCTGTCGTGCTGTGAGAAAGTCTCGCCACATGGCAAGCCACGTGTGGGTGCTCTAGTCGGCAGTCCTAGTCTTTGAGTCATCCCAACTCAGGCACCAGACATGTGAGTAAATAACCTTCAGATGATTCCAGCCCCCTGGTGTCATGTCACCCCCCAGTGTTTGAATCTTCCCAACTGAGACCCAGACATCGTGGAAAATAGATAAACCATCTTGGCTGTGCCCTGTCCAAATTTCTGACCCATGGAATGGTTGTTTTAAGCCACTGAATTTTGGAGTAAGTTGTTACACAGAAACAATAACCTGAACTACAGGTTATAGAATTGCTAAGAAGCCAGATAAGCCAGGGAGGCAACCCATAGATTAGCAACAGTAGGAAACACAGTGCTATCATCTCTAGGCTAGAAGGACAAAGAGAATAGTTGGTATTAATGAGGCTCAGGGTCCAGGGTCACCTGGCAGAAGTTAGAACCAAAGTAGGCCTTCGGGAAAGAGGGGAACAATAGAAGAAATACAGCTAGGACTGAAGATACTACCAGAGGAACCAGAAAAATACTAAGTTTCTCTCTTCTTCCTGTATGTATATCTACTGCTACTTCCTCTCATTGGCCTAACCCAGCCTGAAGCCTAGAGAGTATGGCCTGAGAAGGTCAGTCCCTTCCAATACAAAGCAGAACAGGGGAAGGCAAGAAATGGATCTAAGAGGAACAGGCCCAGGACTAGCACTTTAGATATTGAAGAATGAGTAAAAGGTCATAAGACAGATAAAGAGGGATAATGTCTCAGACAAAAGGGACAGCAGAGGTACGAAGGTACATGCCCATACTCCGGAGACTTTCAATATCTCTCCACGGTTTGAATGTATCTTGCATTTGGGGTGGAATAGAATCAGTAGAGATTCTTATCCCCGTTGTATGGACGAGAAAACATAGCTCAGTGCTATGGACTGAATGTTTGTGTCCTCCCAAAATTCATACGTTGAGGGGGCTGGTCTAGTGACGTGGTGATTAAGTTCACATGCTTGGCTTCGTCGGCCTGGGGTTCACAGGTTCATATCCTGGGTGCAGACATACACATCACTCATCAAGCCATGCTGTGGCAGCATTCCACATACAAAAGAGAGGAAGATTGACACAGATGTTGTTAGCTCAGGGACAATCTTCTTCAAGCGAAAAGAGCAAGATTGGCAACAGATGTGAGCTCAGGGCCAGTCTTCCTCACACACACAAAAATTCATATGTTGAAACTTAATCCCCAATGTGATAGTATTGGGTAGATGATTAGGTCATGAATGTGGAGCCCTCATGAATGGAATTAATGCCATTATAAAAGAGACCCCAGAGAGCTCCCTTGCCCCTCCCACCATGTGAAGACACAACAAAAAGACAGCCATCTATGAACTAGGAAGCAGGTCCTCACCAAACACTGGATCTGCCAACACCTTGATCTTGGACTTCCTATCCTTCAGAAATGTGAGAAATAAATTTCTGTTGTTTATAAGCCACCCAGTCTATGGTATTCTGTTATAGCAGCCTGAACAGACTGAGACACTCAGAGAGGGTAAGTGTAGTGGACATTTTTCATTTGGGGAGTTATCTGAGCCCCAACATCTTCTCATTTGGGAGAATCCAAATGTATACGTCTTGGTGGCTGGCAGCACACTTTCAACCACTATGAAAGTAAAAGGGGCTGATCCACCTTTGTCAAAGCTGTGTGATCCTAACTGGACATTTCTGCCCAGAACTTGAATCTTGGGTGAGTAACACAAAGATAGAGAGTTCGAAAAATTATTCACAGAATCGGTCGCGGCATTGGCAGTCTAGTATTACCGTCACTGAGAGTCGAGTGGCAGCCTCTGAACCCTACCAGTCTACACTTTGGCTCTGTTGTCTGATTCATGATCTTTCTCGACTCCTGATAGTTTTCTAAGTCTGATCCTCCAGCCTTCCAGTCAGTTCTGGGAACTACCTATTATCTTGCCAACAAATTCCCTTCCTACTTAAGTTAGAGTCCGTTTCTGTTGCTTGCAGTCAGACGATAATACAATAAGTAAGAATTTGTGCTCTCAATTGCTATTGATGGCATTTACTTTGAGCATACTAGGTAGACGTTGAAGTGAAAATGAGTGCAGACTGAGACACTAGGTACGTAAATGTGATGTACATCTCTCAGAACTTGCTCATCATAAAGGGGTATCTCTTAATAAGGGGAAAAAATAAATCACCAGCTGACATTTATTAAGTACTGTAAGAGTTTCCTATGGCTGCTGTAAAAAGTTACCACAAACTTAGTGGTTTAAAACAACACAGTTCTGGAGGTCGGAAATCTGAAATGGGTCTCACTGGGTTACCATCAAATTATCAGCAGGGCTGTGTTCCTTTCTTGAGGCTCTAAAGAAGAATCTGTTGTCTTGCCTTTTGCAGCTTCTAGAGGCTGCCCGCATTCCTTTCCAGGTGGCCCCTTCTGTCTGCAAAGCCAGCAAGGACAGGTTGAGTCTTCTCACATTTCATCACTTTAACAATGACTCTTCCGCCACCCTCTTCCACATTTAAAGGATCCTCGTGACTACATTGGGCCCACCCAGATAGTCAGGATTATCTTCTTGTTTTAAGGTCATCTGATTAGCAAACTTAATTCCATCTGCAACTGTAATTCCTCCTTGCCAGTAACATAACACATTCTCAGTTTCTGGGGATTAGGATGTGGACATCTTTGGGGCACCAAAGATTCTGCCTACCACAAGTACTTATTATGATGGTTAATTTTATGGGTCAACTTGACTGGGCTAAGGGATGCCCAGATAGCTGCCAAAATGTTATTTCTGAGTGTGTCTGTGAATATGTTTCTGGAAGAGATTAGCATTTGAATCCATAGACTAAGTAAAGAAGATCACCCTTACCAATCGGGAAGGTGTCACCCAATCCACTGAAGGCCTGAAAAGAACAAAAAGGCGGAGGAAGGGCAAACTTGCTGTCTCTGCTGGAGCTGAGGCACCCATCTTCTCCTGCCCTTGGATGTCAGCACTTCTGGTTCTTGGGCTTTCAGACTCAGACTGGAATTTACAACATTGCCCACCTCACCACCCAATTCAGGCCTGTGGACTTATACTGAATTACACCACTGCCTTTCTTGGTTCTCCAGCTTACAGATACAGATCGTGGGACTTCTCAGCCTCCATAACCATGTGAGACAACTCCTATAATAAATAAATAAGCAAACAAATAAATAAAAATCCTATTGGTTTTGTTTCTCTGGAGAACTCTGAAACACTTATTATGTGACAAATTTTAACATACTACACTTAATAACTTTTTTAGTAACGGTTCCTTGGGCCATGCCATGGGCTTTGTGTCCGCAGCCCCAGGTATTAATAAAAAGTTCCCTTGCATGCCATTGTTCTCTCTGCATATATTTCCTTCAGTGACTTCAGGGAAATGAGGCTGATTGAGAATAGGATTCAGGTGTTCTTACAATCTTGCCCCCCCCCACCCCCCAACCATCTTAATCTTACCATGATTTGCAACAAAATAATACAAATGACAGTTATTTGAGTCAACTGCTTATGATTTTTGCCTAATTACTATATAGTAAAAGAAAAAAAGTTAGTCAAAACATATGTCAGATTAGCTTGTGTGAGATTTATTTGATTACAACAGTAACCTCCATTCTGTATGATAACCTTCATGGCTGGTTACACATGTAAAATGGTTGTCTGCTCACAACTTAAAAACATCAAGGAGAACACTGGGTATTAGAGACATGGTACATTATCCAATGCCTTGATTTCCTGCCATAAGGAATGGTTAAAGCTGTGATTGTTATTTGAGAGGGTCTGTCTCTATTGCTACTCTCTTTGCTTCCAATGTCCTAACCAGGAGAGTGGGTAAGAGGAGAGGGGAAAGAACAGGAAGAGAAAAAAAATGAAGTTTATATAAATGTGATAAATCTGTTATATTATCTATATCACACACTGGACACGTTCAGGAAAAAAACGCCTCAATTCAGAGCAATTGCTGCAAATCACACATCCCTGATTACATGGCAGTATTCCTAGTGGAAAAGCCAGAAGTCGTGAAGGATGGATTTTAGCATGTCCTATACGTTTATTTATGGTGCAGCACGTCATCAAACAACACTTCACAGGCTCTAAGCTGGCAAACTGGAGGGCTTTGAAGAAAAATAATGAGCTGAGAGGTTCATGGCATGCTATTAAAAAGTTTGTGATTGGATTTGGAAAATCAGATGGGTCTCCAAGGAAAGGGACCCTTTCTGAGCCATTGCGCTTAGAATATTTTTGAGCCCCAGAGCAGATATTTATGGGGAGGGAGAGTTGTTTTTGTCTTGAATCCAGGTTCTGACTCTGATGTACAGTGGGGAAGCCGCTTTGCACTGCAGACCTGAAGTCCTGGAATATCCATGATGTCACCTTTTTCTACTGATCGGCTACCACTGCACAGAGGCACGCTATTAGCTCTGTGATGTTTTAGCTTAATTCTCCCATATGTGGGTTGCAATTCCAGCCAAAACAAAGTCGGCAGGGGATTTTACAGCTGCTAAATCGCTCAAGGTGCTGTAGACTCAGTGAGATCGGGGACATCGCATCAGGATGCATCCATTATGAACAAAAAGACAAGAGAAAGAAAAGGCATCAGAACAGTGGGATCTGGGATTACCTGGTGTGTGATTTCTAGATCAAGCCTTTGGTCTTCCAATCAGTAATGGTGCTCTGGATTTTCAGTGCTTTTTTGGCATATGAGATGGAAGAAAGCACCTTGTTCTGGGTGGTGAACCATGGAATCTCTCTCACTAAATTAGAAAGGAGGCATTTTAGGATATGAGATCATAAAAGAGAACAGCATTTGAACAGAAAAAAAAATTACACACACAGAGTCACACATAACTAGGCCAACACAAGATGATTTTGTGGTTAAGCCATTTTTCCCAGTGCAGATGACACTTGAATGCTCTGTATCTCAGAGTCCTCCCGCACACACACAGCATGAAAAGATGGCTCTGCAGCTGCCACCACCATAAAGCCAGGCTGCACTGTAGGTTGAAGTAGGAAGGACTAGAAACACTTGGTTAGTTCTCAGTTCCCAAGCTCACAACGCATGATCACCAAACCCTTTCCTTGAGTTCATTCTGTGACTTGTTCTCGTCTCCCCGCCAGTGACATGATAACATAAACACTTAACCCTCATGCCCAGAAGATCTTTTGAATTCTGCAAACAATGGGGCAGAGAAATCACATCATGAAAAATTATTTGTGATCATTAGGGGAAAAAAACTGGGGGAGGAGGGGGGGGTGGGTAGAATATTAGGCTATTCAAAAGCAATAACCGTTGTTTCTTCCTCAGCTTTCTGCCCAAAGTCACATGGATGATGGTACATTTTCAAGCCTGCTCCAGCCCAACGCTGCAATGTGCAAGTATTTGTTTTGTATGAGCAAATCTGTTCTTTTTTTTTTTCCTTGTTTCTTTCACTGTGGGAAAATGAACTTATTTTCAGTCACCCCTGACATCTGACCACTCGACTGATCACGAGGACACTGTGGTAAACCACAGCTCAACTTGAAATTATCTCTTTTAGGCATGGTTCCTGTACTTTGGATGGCACCATCCCTGCTGCCCAGCTTCAGCTCTCCCCTACGGGAGTTCCATTTTCGCTTTCCTCCGTCTACTCAAAGCAAGTGGTCTTGCTCTAAAGTCTTTCAATTGGGCTCAACCTCAAAATAAACTGAACGCAAAAAATGACACGGCTTTTCCCAGCCAAAGCCCCAAAAGCAGCCCGTTGATCCATCATGTCCTTCTTTTTAAAATGGGGGCGGGGGAACGCATGAAAACTTTAAACATCCTAGAAACAACAACAACAACAAAAAGCCAGCTCTCCTCATTAATCTCAGGACGATCCGGCAGGGTTTATACATATTCCTTCTGTTTGAATCATCTTGTTTTTTGTAGCTATTTTACACCTCCAGGATCCCGCCATCTGCCCACTCTAAAGAAATGCAGCAAAGCATTCCAAAAACAATGGCTGCAAGGAAAAACATTTGAACAACCCCAGGATATCGACTTTTCTGCACCCTTCTGATTACTGCTGCACTCCCTGGAGGGAATACACTGTGAGATGGCCCTGAGGGTCATGCTGTGGGGGGCTCACCTCCTAAGAACCCCGCCTTGTGCCCTGTCATACCATGAGGCTGACAAGAGAGAACTTGGTGTTCAGATCTGGCTGCCCTCTTGGCTGAGGAAAAAGGAGGAGGAGGGGTGGGCGGCTGCCTGGGCAGTTATGTCCTACTCAGATCTGGTGTGTGTCACTGGAATATAGGTCAACATTTGCTGGATAACTTGAGGCAAGCTGGAAGCATGCGGACCCCAGACCAGGCCCAGGTCCCCCTTACTCTCTTCCTGCCCAAACAAGTTCACAGGCCCAAAGAACGGGAGAGGCCATCAGAATAGATCCATTTTGCTCACAAATGCTGGGGAAGTCTAAAGCTTAGCAAAGGCTTTATCAGTCTTGGGGTTGGGCCAAGGAACAGGCTGAAGTTCAGCTGGCCAGGCCAAACGCAGCTGCTGGCTATTTGCGCTTCCCACAGGGACTTTTCCTCCACCCCCGATTTAGATACTCGCGAAGTGGATGGGTAATGTGCACGTAGCTGCCGAGGGTGATCATAGAAACAAAATGACTTTCAATTACTGAGCAGTTCAGGTGGAGGCAGAGAGAGCAGAAAAGGTTTTCTTTCCAACAGCAAAATGAGGTGTCAGTTAAAGAGTTGCTGGCTTTGCAGAGAGATTATTACTTTATAAGCGATGTTGGCAAATGCTTTCGGCTGAACGTTTAGGCTTGGTTACTGCCTTTCTCCCACAGTCAGAGACGGATAAAGATATTACATGAATTGGTTTTTTCTTGTGAATTAAAACATCGATGTCCTGATATTTGGTAACAAGCGTTGCCAAGTTAGTGCTGAGCAGGCAGAAAGAAGGAATAAGATGAATGCTTTGCCTTTAGGGCCATGCAAAAAATGTTCACAAAAGAACATCATCCCACAGATTGTCCAAGGTCACCAGACTGTGCACACTCAAAATGGAACTCAAGACTCCCAAATCCCAGCGTCTGATTAATTGTCCTTTGACTAAAACAATGAAAATAAAATGGATTAGCAAAGGGTATTGCTCCAGGCCAGAGAGTTCAGAAAGCACACAGAGCTTCAAGGAAAGTGGGATTTTCTTTAATTAGGCTGACGCCGAATGCCTCAGCAATAATGTTGTAAATGTGAAATTATCATTTGCACGGTAGGTATATTTGTGATTTCTCATCATGCAAGTTAGATTGAAATTTAGTTTGTATCACTATGTTCCTGGCATTGTGCAAGGCATTTTTCTACAAATTATATGATTTAACCCTCATAAGAATCTGGTGGGTCATATATCATTATCACTATTTTACTGATGAGACTTAACCCGATTAGGTCCTGGTTGATGTGTGAGTGGTAGAGCTGGGATTCAAATCCACGCTTCCTAACTCCCCATGTTTCAGAACCACTCAACTGCCTCTTCTAAATAGCATCTTATTTTGTGTATTCATATCTAGGTTGTAAAATGTAAGTTCCTGGATCAGAAAACTATGAGTTAAAAGGGAGATTTCTTTGAATTACTTACTTGCAATATTTTGCTTAAATATAAGGGTAGTGCGGTTGGTCATGAAATATTATCATGCCTTTTAATTAAATAGTGCATAAGCTTATAAATAAATTCTCGATGAGGAAGACATTATATAATCTGATTAAAATCTGGTCTGGTATTTGAAATGCATTGAAATGTCCAGATATAAAATGGTTTGGACATTATAAGAGGAAAATATTGGCTTAAAAAGTTGAAAAGTGAAAGATGTTACAAGTAGGTGATTTGACACTGAATGCACATGGACAAAGCAGGAAGAGGGAAGTTCATTTAATTAGCATCTTAGTCAGAGAGGTTGGATGCCCACCTTTCTTAGAACAGAGGAAAAAGGCATAGCGGAATCTGTTCTCTATTTTTTTATCTTTCTTGTTTGAAAAAGGAAAGATATGGGAATAGGAGAAATAAGTTAAAAGTGCTAGTAACAAAGATGAAAGGCGCACTGCACCTGCCCTAAAGGATCTCGTGGTCCAGAAGTAGAGACAGAGACATAACCAAAACACCATGACAGACGAAAAAATAGGAATGTGTACAAGGCACAAAAACAATGCAGAAGAGGAAGTAATTGCCTAGAGAGAGAAAGAAAGGGTCAAAAAAAGTTTCATAAATAAGGAAAAGTTGAGCTGGAATTTAAAGACTTTGACCAAGTGGATAACGGAAGGAAAAAGAAAACTCTATACAAAGGCAAAGAGCGTGAAATGAGCCAACATTTTTGGGACCAGAAAGAATCTGATATTGTTGGAGGGGAGAGCAGGTGGGCTAAGTGTGGAGAGATGAACTGGTAAAGGAGTTAGGAGGTCGGACCTTGGATGTGATGTGGTGAGCCACTGATGGGTTTTCAAAAGTGGATTTGAGTTTCTGAAGAATTTCTCTGTGGTGGTACCAAGAATGAATGGTTGGTCATCTGATCAGCAAAATGAAAAGCTGGTTGTTTCAAATAAGCAATTAAATAGACAAACTCTTGGCATGATTGGTTTTTTTAAGAAGCAGAAATAAAGAGTATTAGATATGAAAAGGGACATTGAAACAGAAAAAGTGAATATTTAAAAATCACAAGAGAATCACATGAACAACTTTAAGCCAATATATTTGAAACTTTAGAAACAGTGTACAATTTTTAGAAAGCACAAATTATGGAAATTAACTGGAGAAGAAATTGACGCTGAGTAAACCTATACCCAGCAAGGGGCAAATATTAACTCAATAGCCAAAAGTATACCACAAAGAGTACCAGCTCCAGAAGATTTTGGAGACAATTTTTTCCAAAATTTCAAGGAAGAAATACTAACCCCTAACAAATAAGCATTCTACGGAATAGAAAACGAGGAAACCCCGCCCAACATATTTTATAAAGTCATTATAACCCTGATGTCCAAGCCAGACATGGAGAGAATGAGAATCAATCTCACATATGGACAGAGACGCCAGAATACTAAAAAAATATTACCAAGAAATCCCAAGTGAGGGTGAATATAAATATCATGTAAAACATACCTTATACGGCATGCAAGAATTGTTTAGCATTAGAAAATCAATCATATAATTTATGCTATTGATGTATCAACAATAGATAATGAAAAATGGTCAGTAAAATTTTATACCTATTAATTATTTAAAAAAATCTTTGCCGATTCATTTGTCAGAGCTCCACGACTTATTAGTTATTAAATTTTAATTCAAATAAAAACAATCTAAGCTTTGTGTGAAAAAGGAAAAGAATGGATTAGAGGAGAAAAGAGTGGAGGTAAAAAGAACGTTAGAAGGTCACTGTAGCAAAGCAAGGTATGAGATCCAGACATGGAAGTCTGGAGAAAAGGCCTGACAGACGACACAGAGGAGAGGGCGGATTTCAGCAATAATTAAGAGGAAAGACTGATAGAGGCTGGTGATTGACTGGATGTGGGAGGAGGGTTGTAATGAGGAGACAGGAGTCTATTATGACGCCCACCTTTCTGGACTAAGTGGCTGTATGGATGGTAATCCAATTAATCAAAATAGAAAATGCAGTTTGAGGATTTGTTTGAAATTAGCGAGTCTCTCTTGCACGAGAGGGAAATAACTACTTAAGAGACCTGAATGCCAGCAGCCTGAAGAAGAGCTTTTGCCATCACTGGATTTCAATGAATATCAGGAGAGAGTAAGAGAGAGAAAAAAAAAGAAGCATTACTTGCTCTTGAAGCCCAAACTAGCACTAGACCTGGCAGAGTTGCCACTTGATAAACATTTATGGAACAAGCCGAAAGCTACCAGCAGTTTCTACAATGCATGGTGAAGCAGGGAGCTGAGGCTTTGGGGTACCCAGAACCACACCAGGTAAGAAAAAATAAAGGTTACCTCAGAAGTGTATGGTAAATCTAGAGTTAAGAAGCACCCAATGACAGTATTATTAGTGATAAAAAATACTTTGAACATTGAAAACAGAGCAAAGAGGAAAGAATTTCTATTTCTTAAATATTGCTCTATCATATATCGTGTTTATAAATAGTTATCACATTTTTAAAGTTAAGCTTTGTTCACAACAGATTTAATTTTTATAGAAAATCACAAAATATACTGTTTTTGTCCTCAACAATTCCTATGTAGCCCAGGCACTGCAGCCACATGCTGGCAGCCACCAGAATTACGTTTTTCTCCCCCCTTGATTTCTCCAATTTGCCCTCCCAAATTGGTAATATCCATCAATGTCCCACTCATTATGCTGTGACTCAAATATGTATCAAAATCAGTAGAAATAAAGCAAATCAAATCACCATTTTACTATGTATGTGCAAAATTTCAAGAAAAGTTATTAACTAAACAGTTCCACCCAGTTGGGAGAAGAAAGGACAAGACTATAGAATGTGGAAGGCCACTTCGAAAGCAGTAACATCCCACTGAAGGGAGCATCAAGGAGCTGCCAAGAAGTTTGTTAATAGCAAGACCAGTCTTCTCCAAGACAGTTGAGAATGGTGATGACTTCATTTGCTTTAAGTAAATTCATTCAGGTCTGAGTTGGGTGGAGAATGCTGGAAAACTATGAGTGGCCCACCCAGAGTTTGGTAATTGTTTCATAACCGCCTTGTGCTTAAACTTCAACCTTTGGGACACCAGATTACACTTGCCACTACCCAGGGACGAAACCCAGATCAGGAGGAGAATGTCCTAGAACCCTTTGCCAGGAGTAATCTCCTGCTGATCTGATCCATGAGGCAAGATCCACAGCAGGACAAAGGAACTTTTGAAAGGGACTTGAAAAGAATTCAGTTACTCTGCGGTTAACCCATCAAAGGCATCTTCCTGTAACCCAGAGGACAGCAGGCCTCGACATGTGCTGGCCATTTGGAAAACAGATTCATATGGAGTAGATCAAACAAATCAGGAGAGCCCCTTGCCTTGAAAATATGGAGCCTTATGAAAATCATTAAGCAATTCATTGATATTTATTTGCTTCACTGTGCTTCAGCAAAGCAAGCAGATTAGGACGAGAACCACTGACCCAGTTTCAGAGGCCTTAGTTCAGGAAAGAAGGATTCCCTTACGTACCTGATTTTAAAGAGCCTTTTAAGAAGACGTCCTACCACACAGCTGGCATAGGAAGGCTGTCTTGGCTCCCTTCAACTGTGTATTAGGTTAACAACCACCTCAAGCTTCTTAGAAACCTAGAAATCCCCAGGCACTTAGAGAAATTCCACAGGGCTAAGAAAACCCTTGCAATCTCAGAGCTTTAAGCAGAAAAATATTTCCAAACATCTTCCTTTCTCACTCTGCGGGACTTTGTGTAACTCATTCCCAGCCTCATAAAGCATGGGTGGCTCCACACCATGCCCGATAATCTGTCCTTCCTAATGAGCCAAAACTCTTCATTTATGGCTCCAGTCCAGTGGACCTGGAAATGAACAAGGAGCAAGTCCGTATTTTCACTTTGGGAGTTAGCAGGTTATTGTGCATGAGTTCCTTCGAAACCAAAGTAATTCACTGTCTGACGCAGGCAACTTTGCTTGCTTTAAAGTTTAAGGAAGTAGCCTCTCGAGATTCATCAGCCTCCCGGCCTCAACTTCCCGTTTACTCAGATGCAAAGTTCCCATGAGCAGAGAAGGGCTCAGCAGAAGGCCATCATTCTTACACTTTGGGCTTTCAACTCTGCGCTATGGGGGATGCCAAATGTATAGCCTCTGAGGCTTTGGGAAGTCGGGGAGGAGGTTGGCTCCAGGAAGCTGGGCTCAACTTCTCCCAGAACATTACAGAGGTTGAAAATCTGTCCTCAAATGTTCAACACATATGTTCTGAAATTCATTAAGTTCCCAAATTAAAAAACAATTTAAAAAGATCCAGCACTGGTTCTCGTACAAAGCCGATACTCAAATCTTGTTGACTGATGAATTTGTTAGCCAATAAATATGAGAAATACAATCTGTTTTGTACCACATGGCAGCTGAAGTTGCTAGCAAGACATTTGTCCCTAGTTTATCACTATACAAGTTTTAGAAAATGAATTACCTAAACCCTGCCTGTGTTTGAAGAACATCTTTCCTCATAAAGCTTTCCCAAAACTTTCTCCTTCGTCATTTTTTGGAGGAACAACTATCAATTAGCTTTATATTGTTAATTAACGTTTTGTTATCGCCTCAATTTCCTGGTCACCGAAAGGAAAAGTTCTGTTTTATTATCTGTTAACTTAAATTTGAGGGGGCAAATAAGTCCCTCAGGATTCAACGTGGATTCTTGCACAAAGCACATACTCAATAACTGTTTGTTGACTGATGAGTTTGTTCGTTGGTGGATTTTAGAAACATAGTCTGGTTTGTACCATGTGGCAGCTAAAGTTGTAGTACACAAAAAGTGTCATTCTTTGCTACTTTTATATAGCTCGTACTTAGAAGAAATGATGTGTTGGAAGATCTTTCCTGTGGTCTCAAAGTTGGAGTTGGACACCGATATTTAAGAGAGAATAATGTGCTTTATGTAGTAAAAGAACATAGCAAGGGTATAAATATTTTTATCACAAATGTTGCAACACTGCAGTGACTTTTCTGTTACTTCACAGAAATATTGGTTAATTTGCAGGTAGATGAAGGAGCCTTAGTTATGACGGTTCCTTTGCAGATGACCTAATTAGGCTTTTCAGAGGACAAGATCTAGTCTTTTTGCTTTTTTTATTAAGAAAGAAAAGAAAGAAAGAAGAGAGGGAGGGAGAGAGGGAAGGAAAGAAAGAAAGAGGGAAAAAGAGAGACAAAGAAAGCAAGCAAGCAAGGACAAGATGAAAGGCAAAGAAAGAAGGAGAGAAAAAAGAAACTTTGTTAAAGTCTCCGCATACAGGATTCAACCACTTGTTAACTACTGACATGTACACAGAACAAATATGTCAAAAGTTAGAAGGAAAAAGAAATTCCAAGCTTAGAAATATAATTTGAGGACCTTTCCCTCATAAAATCTTGTTATTATCAATGACCACTTTGCCCAACTCCATCTTACTTCCAGGCCAGAAGTAACCTGTCTCTGGGAGCCTACCTAAACTTTAGAACTTCTAAGTATCATTCCACTTATCAGTGCTTCAGATGGGGATGTTCTTCCAAAAGAAGGCTGGGAGATGAGCCTTTAAAGATGCTTGCCTATCTCATCACTGGGACAAAGCGGCCCTCATAGCGTGTATTGACTCCTTGCAGCTGACTTTTCAGGCATCCTCTCGTTTAATCACTCCATCGAGGCAGGAGCTGTCTGTTTTAGTTGCCAAGGCTGACACATAGGAGGTGCCCAATACCTATTTGTTGCATAACTGGATTTTTGTATCAGCTCCATGAAATAACAGCATGATCCCCATTTACTGGATGGAGAAATTGAAATTTGAAGAGAATAAGTAACTGGACTGAGCTCTTGGTTAGAGCCCTCCCTTGCTCTGCTGTGTCTCTGACCGGCATCTGTGCTGAGCCCTCCTGAGCGAAGGCAACCACTCACCTCGCTACCATCCTCCCCATTGTACCTGGAGGCCCACTTTCAAGGGTATTCTTTTTGCTAATAGGTTAAAAAAAAACTTATGATCCCTTGAAGATTAGCTAAAAAAAAGCGAAACCACCAAGGCCTATGTAATAGTGTTTCCCTGGACCTTCTTTTTTCTGAATCAGGAAATGGTTACTTTCGGTCTGCATGAAGCCAGCTCAGAGCTCTGCCTCTTCCTCCTTTATCAAGACTTCCTTGACTTAGAAAGCAGTTTTTATGCAAGCAGTGTGCCAACAGTTTTACAGGCTGCCAAAGCCCACTACCTCTTTCTTAAAGGAGCCAGGGCCTTTTCTTCTCCAGAACTTGATGACACAATCAAGCAACACCCAACCACTTTCAAACAATGTTACATCGCAGTTTCCTCAAAATATTTTAGAAACCTTGCCAGGTCTTATTAAGCATTTAACATAATACGGATGTTCAGTAGCAATCATCACATAAATACTCTACCTAAAAATCAAAAATTTCTAAAAAGGTAGATAATTATTAATCAGGAACTACCAAAAACCTACTATGCATAATCTTAATTAAGTAAATGTATGATATTTACTTGCACAGCAGCCCACAGTGACACAGGAGCTCAAAATGGCACATGACTCCCAAATCCAAAACCTATGTTTTAGTTGATTTCATTACAATAGGATTCCACCTGTGCAAAACTTTTACAATATAATTAAAGAGAAAAAAGAATAATTGGTTATATATTAATCCACATTGGTCATTTTTACTGAATCTACCCACTGTCAAAAACTGTTATCAATGAAAAAAACTTGGAGGGAAAAAAATAGTAGACTAATTGCTTTGTGACACCAATGGAGGAATGACGAAGTTTGAGTGGATGGGTGGACAAGGTAGGCTTGTATAAATTAACTCCACCATTTCTCAGTCTTGCAACTGAGATAATAATATTACCCAGGAAACTGCCGTTCATTTGTACTAAGCAAGATATTATACGTAAAACACAGAACGCAATGTCTGCCCTGTGGGCTTGGTGTTTTGTTTTCGCTGTCCATGTCAGTTATTGACATCACTGAGGCTACTCCAAGAGGGGGAAATATTGTGATAAAATTGGTCACGCTTGTCTTCTTTGAATACTACCCCTAGTATGACCATGCTTAGCCTTAGTGGAGTTCATTTTAGATTTATATTAAGAATGGATTTATTTTTATGTGAAGCACAATAAAACACCAATTGTCAAGTAGGTCCTGCCCTCCATGCCCAACCTAGTGAAATCTCACCATCCTGAAAGGCTTATCTTGAATGCCATCCCCTCCATTGCATCTTTTCTGATCTTTCCTCCAAGCGAATGTTTTCACTCTCTCTGGAACATCTTAAAAACTTTGGCTTTTATCCCTCTGAGGACACTCACCCTGCTCTGCATGTTGTGGTGCTGTCTCTTTGCCTTATCTCCTATTAGATTTTAAGTCCCTTGAAAGCAGGGATCAGTCTTATCTTTACATTTCCTATAGGCTGAACACAGACTGTCAACCTTAAAGGCTCAATAAAAATGTGTTGAGTTGCAGTGAATCACGACCCTCCCTGGCTACCAGGCCCTCAGCCAGCTTCAGAGCTCAAAACACAATGGCTCCTTGTATTCACCACTGTGCACACCCACAAACATATACTAAACACCTGGAAACATGCGGACACTTAGTTGCTTGGCAAATACTCTCCCTCCCAGAACATCTTCCCTTTGGAAGAGGCTGCTCTGACAGCTGGCCTGCTGCTGGTTAGATGGGGCACTCCCTGGAATGACCCATCACTGCAGCAAAGGGCCAAACTCATTGTGTCAGGAACCAAGAAAAAAGAAGACTCCAAGCAGGAGAGTCTCAAGGCCAAGAATGTGCTGTTGGATTTATAAGTGAGAGGGGAGCAGGGAGCCCTGCAACGAAGAAAACGACGTTGCATTTGCACTGAAGCCTCCTGCCTCTCCTGCCTTCTTTTTCTTCTCCATCCTCCCATTTCCCCCTCCTGTGCCCAGTCCTTCACTGTCATTTAGTTTTGTGGAGCTTGGGGTTCAACCTTAATCCCCAGGGAGAGGCCTGTGCTCCAGGGAGGTCAGAGCCATCTCCCACTTCCTCTGTGGGATGGTCTCACAAGATGCTGTGGCATCGATGCTCACTGCTCTTTATTAAATACAAATTGCACAGAGCAATTTCCAGGAACTTTAGGGGAGAGTTGATTCCCCCAAACCCTCAAGACATTTCTCAGATCCTGAAAGGATTATTATTATCATTGTTATTATTATTTACAAAGCCCACATCATCTTCAAAAAGTTCTCTTAAAGGAACAAGATGGAGTAAGCATAAGCACGCAGCTTCCAGAATGTGTTCTTCGATTTAACTTTCTTCATGAAAATGACATAACCTGTTGGATTCTGGCTGGGCAGCAAGGCAGGAGGAAACCCGCTTCTCCTTGAAGCCCAGGCAGGGGTGCCAGATTTAGCAAATAAAAACACAGGATGCCCAGTTCAGTTTGGATTTTAGATAAACAATGAATAATGTTTGAGTATAAGTATGTCCCAAATATTACATGGGACATGCTTATACTAAAACAATATTTGTTGTTTATCTGAAATTCAAATTGAACTAATTGTCTTGTATTTTATCCGGCAACACTAAGCCCAGGGAGAGTCAGGACGGTAGAGATTTTCACCAACAAAGCTTCTTTTAAAACCCTGGCTGAATGGCTTTGGACGACATTTCAGTCCAGTCCCTGCATTTTCCCTGGAGTGTGAGCTCAATGTCATAGAAAAACAATTGGGAGAATGAACATTCAGTGAACATTCCGCCCCTTCCTTGCCCTCAGCAGCCTGTGGCAAACTGCTCCCCCTCAACCAGCTGGGGAGGAAAAAAGCTTTCTCTTTTAAGATGGCTTTCCCCGCCCCTTTTACAGATTGGATTGTTTCTTGGATTTGCTGGAGAGATGCTTTTGCTAATTGCTTGCAGA